ACGGTGAGGACGAGTACGAGACCCGCGGCCAGTGGGGGCAGCGGCGGCGGCCGGCCGACCGCGGCCGACCGCCGGCCGCGCCGCACCACGCCGAGCCCCCGCGCCGGGGTCCCGCCGGGCCCCCGGAGCGGGACCCGCGCGGCAGACGCCGCACCGACGAGTACGGGGACCCCCCGGCCGGCCGCGGCGGCCGGCACTCCGACAACGGCTCAGGTGAGGCCGCCAGTGGAGTGTGATTTGTGTGCAGACCGTGGTGTTTCGTTGATCGGGCAGCTGGCTGGGTTGCCTGGTACAGATCGCGCCGCTCTATGCGGTGTTTGCGGCCCAGGCTCCGGTTTGCAGCCCAGGTGACTTAGTTATAATTTCTGTGAACCGCATCATGATTGAGATTAAATTATGTTCGCTCACACACATATTCGTTTTGAGCTCCACGATTTCCGTTGCGTCATCCCCCACCCGCTCAAGCACCAGATCATGTCGGGCACCTGCAGAGAGCGGGTGTCTATCGGGGCCGCGCCCAGCGTCAGACCACGGAGACATGCATTGCGCTAACGCCGTGCCGGCGAGGTCATGCCCGTGCTGAAGCGTGTCCTGGTGCCGCGCGGCAGGCTACCGGAGTGGGACGCACTCGTCGTCGGCGCCGGCGCGCCGCGGCGGCCCGCGCGAGGAGCGCATGCGCATCTTCGTGGCGCTGTTCGACTACGACCCGCCCACCATGTCGCCCAACCCAGACGCCTGCGAGGACGAGCTTCCGTTCCGCGAGGGACAGCTGATCAAGGTCAGTGGCGGCTGGGACGGCGGAGGACGCAGGCAGGGGCAGCTCGCTCGTCAGGCGCGCTGTGCGGGGTCTGAAGTCTCCAACACGGAAGTGGGTGGCATGGCAAGTGTTGGCGACTGGCTCTTGCTCCGCGTGACTAGATGATCGTGGAAGGCCTCGCGCTTGTGTACCATCTCCGCGCTGGGTGTGATGTTGAAATCGGCGATGGCATATTTGTCGTAGTCCCCTTGGTGATTTTGTCAGCGAGAACTGCGCCGGGTACCGCACCCGACCACCAAATCCCGATCACACCCACTGTGCCCCGCACCCGCTCAGATCTACGGCGAGAAGGACGCCGATGGCTTCTACTGGGGCGAGGCGTCCGGCCGGGCCGGCTACGTGCCCTGCAACATGGTGTCCGAGGTGCAGGTGGACGATGAGCACACGGCGCACGAGATGTTGCGCGAGGACGACAGAACAGGTCGGCAGACCGGTTAGTGGCGCTGCCTGGTGTCGCCCGGCCGACCGGCCGCCGACTGCCGGCGGCCGGGGCAGGCGTGACCGGCGTTTCGTGTTCGGGGTCGGTGGCGTCTGGGCCCGAGCGACGTGTAATTCCGATGTACAGGTTCATGCATGTTTTGACGTAGGTAATTGTTTTTTTCGTGTTAATGCCTCTTTGGGGTAATCTCAAAGCCCGTTCAGTGTTGTGGCCTCCCTGTTTGTCCGCCAGTTAGCGGTTATTGAGCGGTCGGTGCTGCCTCGGCGCGGCGCTGAACGAGTTAAGCTTTTGGTGAACAGTCATCACGTGATTCGCGTTTGCTCGACCTCCGCCTGAGTGTCGATGGCCGATGCCTGGCGTGTCGTCACGACTCTCGTGACGCCATCCACCCGGCGAACGCTGCCAACGTCACCGACTGAACACCGGCCGGTTCGGCCGGTCCTGGTCCCTGATTGGTTGGCTGCGCCTGACGTGGGCGGGGCCGCGCGCCGCCAGGTCGGCCGCGTGCCTCGGGCGAGGGACGCGGCGGCCGCTCGCGCGGCCAGGAGGACCGCTGGGGCGACATCTACTCCAGCACGCCCGTCCGCCGCATGGTGGCGCTCTACGACTACGACCCGCAGGAGCTGTCACCCAACGTCGACGCCGAGGTCAGGCCCGGGCCAAGGTCGTGCTCCGATGGGGGTGTCGCGAGGGCGTGACCTTACTGAGGTGGCGCGGCGTGCGCTCCCCGTGCTCGGGGCCGGCGGCTCAACTGTGTAAGACAGCTGTCGGACGTGACGTCACGGCGACGTGTCGGCGACTCGGCTGTCCACGTTCGTTTGCGGCCGGGCTCACTGGATCCCTGCGGCGTCACGTCCGACAGCTGTCGGGGGTGACGTCACGGCGCCGAGTGCCCTCGGGCGCCCATTGATGTCGTGCCGTGACGGGCGCCTCTCGTTGCTGGCGCCACTTGACTGTGTGTTACCTGCTCCGAGAGATGGCACTGATGTCGCAGTTATGGCTGCTGGGGTTCGATGGCGGCCCGGCTCACTGGATCCCTGTGGGCCACCGGTGGAGGCCCACAGGGATCCACCGGTGGCTGGCACGTGAGCCACCGGTGGATCGATGAGCCCACGCTCGGACGTCCGACTGAGCCGTACGGAACACCTTCGCTGCCTTCGACGGACGAGGTGTTGTGCATGATAGCACTAATTTATAACAGCCGCGGCTATTTTAAGGACCTGATTTGTTACAGCATTAGTGTCCCAGGCGGGACCATTCCCATATCCAGGTGGCTTTCCCCACCAGAGGTAGACATTATCCCCGCGCCATGACTGTCTGCAGGTGGAGCTGTCTTTCAGTACGGGTGATATTATCCACGTCTATGGCGACATGGACGACGACGGGTTCTACCTAGGGGACATTAACGGCGTGCGCGGTCTGGTGCCCTCCAACTTCCTGACGGATGCGCCGCAGGTAGGAAGGCTAGCGCCGCTGTCACGCGCGCAGCGGCCATCTAACGTGCGCATGATCGCGCGCTGAGTCCACTGCTGTGTGCGTCTGGTCCTGCGTCGACCGTCATGTTATTGCCGCGGATGGTGTTTTGAAAGGTGTGAATTATAGTCGGGGACGCTGCGGCATGCCGTGAAAGCACGCGGAATGTGAAGGTGGGATTGTTGGTGCATATGCCGTACCAGTCGCCACGTGATGGCAAGGCGTGGCTGTCGCGCGGAGCAAGCTGTCCTCCTGGCGGCGCGGAGGCGGGGGCCAGCTGACTGGCCGCCGTCCTGCGTGCCGGCCGACCCTGTGACCTGTGCACTGACGGCGCTGTTCAGCACGTAACTGGCACCCGCCCGCCTGCGCCCGGCAGAACTACGAGCGGCGGCGCGCCCACGAGCCGGCGGGCGCGGCGGCGGCGGCCGAGCGCGGCGGCCGGCCCGGCCCGGGCGTGCTCGGCCCGCCCCTGCCGCCGCGCGACAAGGGCGACTCCAGGGACCGGCGGAAAGGTGGGCGGCTGCGGGCGGCGGGGCGGGGCAGGGCAGGGCGGGGCGGGGCGGGGCTGCAGGCTGAAGGCACGGACGAGCGGCGCGCGAGACCCTTCGCCGCGTCGTGACGTGCGCTCCTCCGTGGGGAGGTGGGTCCCGTCCGCCCACACTCGGGGAGGCGACGAGGCCGCGGCGCCACGCGGTTGTGTGATCGGGTTGGCGTCACCGCCCACCTCCGGTTCCCAGGTCACCCGTTCGACTGTGGACCTGCGTGCTGTCAGCGAAGCTGTGTCGCGCTGGTCAGGCGCCACTCGGGCAGGATCGTGGTCGTGTAGGATACAGTGCGGGCTTCCGATCAGGATATCTGCGTGAAATGTACTATATTGTAAAGCATGCGGTACACCGCTTTTAACGCGACCGCGCTATATGCTACAAACGGCCACACGAGGGCTTATTTTCCATCGGCCATTGGCTACCATTTGTCATATTTTGACTTCTCGAGATTTCAAGTCGCATTGGTGGCTTGAGGTTAGGTTGATGATATGGCTCACTTTGTCACGATACAGGGTCGTTTCCTAGCACCTTTATTTAACGCTGGTTTTGGCATGCCGTATAATGTGACCGGTTGGAGTCTGTGGTCGGGGGTCCTTGTGGCAAGAAGCCGGTTGCATTCTCCAGCTTCCCAATTTTGAAGGAAGTGGACCAAAGCCGGAGGTGAATTCATTTGCTGGCCGATTTAGAGATGGGGGGTGGGGAGGGAGGGGGGCGGGTGGGTGCGTGGGGGTGGGGACACGTTTCGCCGATTTTTACCGTTCAGCTCCCCCAACCTACTTTGCAATACTACCCCCGTAGCTAGTGTCTAGGGTGCGTTACTTCACCGCAACAAAGTAGATAGGGCTTCTAGGATAAATCCGCCTTATCAATCTAAGCATCTTGGTAGAAGTACCATATTCAAAACGATATTTGCTCTTTAAAGGCATCAACACGTTTCAGGTAGACCTGGGCCTCCAATATCACGGCCAGTCGCTGCTATCAAGCTGGACTAGCTAGTCGGGGACGGACCAGTTTTCTCTTGTATCAGTTTGGGCAGACCCAGGCTCGTGGCAGAGATAGTGGACGTTGCATTCTGCAGCATTGAGAGTGGACGTTGCATTCTGCAGCATTGCGTAGGACTTGTTTTCTGTTTGACGTTCACAATGAAGCGCAAAATTTCATCTAAACGATACGAAACCAGCCGAGTGGGTAGAATACGAGCCGATTGGTCAGAATACGTCAAACCATATCTTGTACACCGTATGATGTTGCTATGTCTGTGCGTTCAAGGTCATGCCTTTCCACTTCACGACAGAACCTACTAACTGTTCTTTAACCTTTGTTTCTCCCTTTTAGATCCTCCCATCTCTCATGTAGACATTAGTGCAGAGCTTGTCGAAGATCCCATGGTAAGTGGGGCCATAGGTAGATACAGTGCCGCATGATTTATTTGTAACTGCTCTTACCCATTGGTCTTGTGCCCCTGGCATCCATTAAGTCATCTTGCAATTTGCTATATCCGATTAGCACGTAGCATAACTGTATGCTCTTGAATACTCTTTCATTTCCCCGTGACCATACCTATTTCTCTGTCGGTCACACACGTCATGTTCATTTTTCTTGCTTCCCTGTCGCTATTGATCTTCATATTGGGTTTTCTGTGCTCTCGCTTTTGTATTTTGCACCCACGAATTTCTACGCACTTCAGCCTTACACTTCACTTTGTCTCTCACCACCGTGTATTACGCACCTGATGCTTTGATTTCCCGATGACTTGCTCTTTATCTTCTTGTAAGACTTTGCTAGCACATGCTTTTTATCGCTTTGCAGCTCATAAGTTGGACCCCTATTTCAGTGAATTTTCTGAATTTCCACTCCCGTGAAACCATATGGCTGGACTGAACTTCAAATAGGATACCTAAGCTTGCAATAATTGACTGATCTAGGCGTGCGGTAGGCTCGCGCCAGGCTGAGGATTTCTTGGATCTTTGGTTGCACCAATCGAGTTCACCTTCGAATGGTGATTTCAGCATTTTATTAGAGGTTACACATTGCGAGACGCGCATTTTTACAGGTGAGCTGCTGCAACGGGCCTTTATGTCTCAAAATATTTAAGTTTCAGCACGCTGAATCAATAAGGGATGCCGGATAGCGTGTCGTTGCTTTACACTTGTTTTCTGTTCCGCGTTCGGAAAAGGCGTAAGATCTGACGATTTTATCGAAACGGATGGTGTAACCCGCCGCACCAGTTGAAGCTGTGACCAAGTTTAGTAGGCTACTATACTTAACGTATTCTAGCTTTGCTGCGCGCTTTTTTCTGTTTCACCCACACGTAGATGGTGATATTTGGCTCTTGATTTGAAACGAGTCAGAGAACGAGCTGAAGAAGAGAACTCGTGACATTCGTGATCCGACACATGTGTGACGCATATTCTCCAATGCCCTTGTTTTATTGTTTTGTCGTACTTTCCTAAATATTTTATGAAACCTTTTGCGTGAATGGATTTCTGGGATCAGAGTTCGCGCTAATCACTGCTTGTTGTGTAAGCCCTGCCCCCCCCCCCCCCCCCCCCACCATCCAAAGGTGAAATTTCATGTGAACGGTGGAATTTGATGGCGAAAGTTTGACGTACCGCAGAGCTCGGCACGGTCCGTCTTGCTCTGTGGGCACTGAAGTACTAACGCAGGTTGTTTGAATTCAGCCCAACATCGAAGCCTGAGGAATAGCTTATCCACCTATCAGCTTGCATTAAAAGTCAACATTTCATCCGCAGCCTGACTACATTTTATCTGGCTTGTGTCGCCACAGTTCACGCATCGAATACAGCACACAATACACTCGGGTACACAGTAAAGCGCGGTACACAGCACGGCTCTCTACACTAATATACGGGGCAGTATGCTCATATACAGTGCAGTGCACTCATATACGGTGCAGCACGCTCATATACAGTTCAGCATGCCCATATACAGTGCGGTACACTCATACATTGTAGTATACTCTCGTACAATGCAGTAGCACGGGGTGGGTGCATAGACCTCCGCGCGGTAGCTGCAGCATATCTGACGTCCGTGGCGAAAGCAAGTTCAGCGCATCACCATCTCTCTCTGTGGGCTGACACGCCGCCGTCCACCCAGATTCCTCTAGGTCGGGGTCAGCCAAGCGCTCAACACAAAGCCTGTACATTCTGATAACGACTGTCGGAGGCCCTTTTTGGGAGGTGTGGACAATCTCATCGCTTATCTCTGCGTGTTGATGACTCGTCGCGTTTTCGGAATGGTCCAATCTCATGACGTATTTCGGAATGGTGCAGTCTCATCGCGTATTTCGTTGTGGTGTGGTCTCGTCGCGTATCTCGTAGTGGTGCAACCACTCCAGCTGACATTGAGAAGCTTCAGCTCTACTGCGTTCATCGCTAGGTTCCACACACGGTGTCCCGTTTACGTCCAACGATCAGTTCGTCCTGTGCTGATTTTGCATTCGCTTGATCGCATCAGCCCCGAAAAGCGCAAATAATTACACCCATTCAGCCGTTATAACAGGGGGCCGTTATAGTGCGAGAGGTTAATAACACACGGAGTTTAAATCCTTCCAAAAATATCGTTTTCCGGCCGGTTGTCCGCTCCGAGCCACCCCGCGCCACGACCGGACCTCGGACTGCTGCCCGCGCATGCGCGCTGCCTTCGCCCGCGCCACGGTTGACGTTCGTGACACTGGTGCTGACGGGCTGGACGGTGACCGGAACGGGCTTCGGTCAGCCATTGCCGGTTCGCTGCGCGGGCGTGCGGCACGAACTGGCCGCCTTCACTCCTGGGCGGCGATCGTGCGCACGAGCTCGTGGTGCGCTGGCTGTGAGGTCCGCCGTTGTGGCCGTTACTGGCTTTGATCCCGATACAGCAGGCAGAGGAAGAAATGGCCGGACTTGGAAGAATACGGAAGAGATAGGCGGACTTACAGAATGGAGCAGTGGTGGCTGAAATCAAGAAAATTTATGTGATGTCACTTGGCTGTGCATGGGGGGCATGATGCCAGATTTGCAAGCTCTCAGAAAATATGGTACGCATAACTGATTAACCGATGCCCCAAAATTACGCCGATACCCTTCACAGTGAAATGGTGCGTCCGATTGAGCTGCCGCTTGATGGCACGTGCTGTTGTTTTGAAATCGGAGTATTGTCCTCTCTGCAACCACTGTGCACATACTCCAACAACCAACCTAGCCGCAACCGTACTGGGGCCGCTGGCCTGGGGACCCCACCGGCCGATATCTTTTCTTGCGGCATCATCTCGCGGTTACGTGGACACGTACTTCCTCCGGAGGTCTGCATCTCGATCCCAGGCCTCCTGAACCGGACTGACTCGTGATGCCTGTCTGCCTTTGTTATTGCGGTGATGTAGTTGTACTTGAACTTGGTGATGGTGGGGGTATGCCCGCGAATAACGCTGGTGGCAGGAGGAGGGTGGCCGATTGTAATAAACCTTGATCCCCGATCTCAGATTGCTGATAATTTGACGTTGATGACCCCTAGATCTCTCCCCCTCTTTTCTCCATCTCCCTGTCTCTCCCTCTCTCTTACGCTCTCTTTCTCTCTCTCTCCTCTCTCTCTCTCTCTTTCTCTCTCTCTCTTTTTCTCTCTCTCTCGTTCTCGCTCTTGCTCTTGCTCTTGCTCTTGCTCTTGCTCTTGCTCTTGCTCTTGCTCTTGCTCTTGCTCTTGCCCCTGCTCCTACCCTCCCCCACTCTCCCGCTCTCTCCCGTTCTCAATGCCGACCTGCGGTCCCACTGAAGTGCCTTTGTTCCAGACTGTAACAATGGGAGTTTTCACACCGGTAACCTCTGACACCTCCAGCCCCGCCTATCTCCGACCGTTGCACTACAAAACTGCGGGCGCACCGCCGACCTGTCCGCCTACCGACCAGGCCTCCGTCTTGCTTGACCCCCGCCTACCGCCCGTTACCATTGAAACTGCACTCGGCAGGCCTCGAAGCCTACCCCCGCCTTCCGTCCGAACTGAACCTCTGAGCACCACCCTCCGCGTACCTGTGTCGTCGCCTCGCTGGATCTCCAGCCTCTCGCCGTGCCGTTTAACTGTCGCCGTGCTTGCCCCTGCCACTCATCGCACCCGCTGACCCTCCGGCGGCGTTGCAGACGCCCGTGTCGACGACGGCGGCCGCAGCGAGCGGGACGACGGCGAGCGACGCCAGCAGCAGCGCTGGTAGACCGCTGCCGAACGGCGTGCCGCCGCCGCTGGCCGGGCCGCCGCCGGCCACGCCGCTGGCCGACGCTGGCGCCTCGCTGCTGGGCGGCCTCAGCTCGGCCGGCGGCCTGCTGCGCGGCCTGGGCGGCGCCGTGCCCGGCCTCTCGGGCGCCGTGTCCGGCCTGGGCGGCGCCGTGTCCGGCCTGGGCACGGCCATGCCCTCGGGGCTCGCCGGCGGGCTGGGCGGAAGCGCGCCGAGCGCCGCCGCGGCCGGGGACGCGGTCGCCGCCGCGGGCTCAGCCGGGACCGCGACGGCCGCCGGACAGGCGGGCGCTCCCGCCGCCGCCGCCGCCGCCGCCGCCGGCCCTGGCTTCATGCAGAAGCTGGGCGGTGTGACGGGCGAGGCTGGCGGCGCCGTCGAGGGCTTCATGTCGAAGGGCAAGGAGCTCATCTTCAAGCGGTTCGGTCTGTGAGAGAGGCGGTGCAGTGACGCCGCGGCGATCCTCCGGCACCGCCTCAGGCACGGCAGCTGCGGTGGCTGCCGGCTGGCGGATATCTCCTCGTTCGGCTCGCTGCAATGTCCGTCGGCACTGGCCGACCAGCCGGTGTGAAGCGGCGTGGCGCGCCCGTCAGCGAGACCGAGTCTCCCTGGAGGAGACTCGCTGCGGCTGGCGGCTGAGACTCGCGGACGCTTGGCTCAGCTACGCGGCAGCTCTCCGAACCGAAGCCCGCAGCGAGGCAAAATCGACGGGCCGCGCGGTTCGGGAGCTCAGAAATGCCAGCTGGTGTCCAACGTCACAGCTCAGCGCCCATAACTGCCAGCTCAGCTCAGCGAAGCTGTGCGCTTCTGTCGCGGTTGAGAGCTGCGTTCGCAGCGCACGCGCAGGCCGCCTCTGAACCTGTCGATGGTGCCGCGCTGTTCCCGGATGTTAGACGAGGAATGTCGCCGACGTCGATATCGACGCCGGCATGGGCGTCGTTACTGACATTGGTGCGCTTGCGATGTATGGATGGAGACTCACTTCAGACCAGTCATACGATTTGTGGTGGTGCCACAAAGCACGACATGCTTCAGACTTTCCACTCTGTTTTCGCTTCTCTTATGAAAGCAAAGCCCCACTATTTTGTCCGTACCGAATGTGCCAATGCTCACAAAGTAAGAGGTCTTCTCCAGTTTTCTAGCATTTTGGCGGTCTAGATGTGTGGAGATGCGGTTACCGTGGCGTTTGCTGCTTCCTACCACTTCGATATGGTGTCTTGTCAGTTTTGGTCAGTGGTTTTGTTCGATTCGCACAGAGCGCCGAGCGCTGCGCTCGTTTGTTGATGTCTACGTGTGCAATGCATTTTTCTCATACGTCAATATATCATGTTGCAGTGATTTTGAATAGCTAAATACATATGTTACTGTATTAAATGTGGCTTTGTGAGTCGCAGTCAGCGTGGATGAGGCAGCCCGGAGGCGTTTGCGTACGGTGCAGACTGCAATGAATCTGACGCGTGAAAAGACTAAACGAAGTTTAGATGGGGGTCCGACAAATGACGTGTCACCTACTCAGACCACCAACAGAACGGCTTGGTGGCTGAGTAAGAACTGCGCTGCTTCGCGCAGGTGGTCAAAGCGACTATCCACTTCACCACCTCGCGGAGAAAAGATTTAAAACCGGCAGAGGTTACTCACACATTCGTCGCGACTGCTGCTTTCTGGAGGCCCACCGATGAAAAGTTACCAAAAAGTACAACCCATCTAAGGGCTTTCCTCGGGGCCGTGGAGGTCCATAACCGTCTTGGGCGGTGTGCGCATCAGGTCTAATGGCTTTTTAGGCGAGGTCTTTTAACCGACCGATCAATCCCCCGCGGCCGTCAGCGACGCCGGATGCTCACATTGTGCATACATCAGAACGTACCTTTGTGTCGTTATGTATGCACTGCTCGGCGTGTGCGAGCAGTTACGTCAATCTAACAACCTAGGACACCTGTAGGCGAATCAAAACTACGCAGACGAAACGAACTTTCTTGTGAGATGTCAGCGCTGTATTGTTCCCATTTATCTCTGACCGTAAACGATATTTTCTGTAAGATCGCTAGATACGTTGAATGTGGTAGCAATATGGTAGCACCATATTTGCTGCTGCAGCGCCTCTACAGGGTTTTTCGGTAACCGCAGGCGGCGCGATGGGTGAGACCGGTGCTGGCAGCTCCGGCAAGAAAAAGGGTAAGTGATGGTATTTAACTGTCAGGTAGCATTTCTGTATGCCTTTTTGGTACTCGGATACATTCCGTATCTTTTTTCGAGCCGCTTACCTGTCCTTGCGTTGGCAAGGCTCCCCCGGTATGCCATCTTCTGATGCGCAAAGTTAGCCGCGGGTGATGGGCGTGTGTGTTGATTTATTTGGAACTTGTATGGTCATCGGATAAAACGGTGTGCATTGAGTATCGTATATTGTTTTGAAAAATGGTGTTTATTCTCTTCGTCATTTTTGTTTTTAAATTTGCCACACTTATGCTCTGAACTCAGGTCTCAGATATGTACTGGTACATTGATTATCATTGTCATATTAATACAGGGCTTCCAAAGGCATATTTTTGGAATTTCGGTATTGATATCATGCTACATGAAGACCTAACCTTTTGTTTTACAGGAAAATCATTATGTGGCACATGCAACAAAAAGTGTTCTGGAGAGGTTTTAAAGGTTCATGACCAGTTTTTCCACATCAACTGCTTCAAATGTAAAGGTGAGTACTATACCACAACCTGCTGCTCCTATGCAATTGGGAGAGGGAATGCCAATATTTGCACAGAATGGGATTTATCTCCAGATGAGGCAGTTATGATTGCATTATCAGTGGCATTAAATATGGAGTGTGTTTGGATGTGGCATGTTAGTGAACATATATCAGCAGTGCTCAATTCCTGGTTCAAAACATTTCAGGGTGATCAGATTTAGAGGTGAATGAAAGTGTACATATAAGCATGTTGGTACTTTGCTTGAAAGTATGTCAGTACCAATGTGTTCAGAAAATTCCCAGAATGTGTACATAATGATTGTCAGTGGCATTCTCTGGATGGCTGTGTAGTAAAGCTCAATGTCTTACCATTACAGTTTCTAGAGAAGTATGTCAGTAGATGGTTGCATAGGACTGCGGGGTCAACTAAGTGAAGTGCTGCCATTCAACATCACTTTATTCTGTCTCTTAACTTACCATGTGTAGTCATAGATTGTAGCTCATGATGCATGCAAAAGCCAAGGTTACTTAGAGAAATTGATGCAAACCATATGTACTCTGTCATTTGTTGCTTTCTAGTTATGAGGACAGCAGAACAATGCTGCTGTCTTTCCTGCTACATCCCAAATCCTATATGCAAGGTCCCTGATGTTCAAAAGTATGCCATTTTGCTATAAACTGGGGTTGGGTACTTACCAGTTGATTTCCTCATGGTTAATTACATGGTGTCATGCAGCAGTTCCCTATGGATGACCAGGGCTGAATATTCATCAGTTGTACAACTGATATGTCACAAGCTCTGTTTATCCCAGCCATTAAACCTAAGTTTATTTTTGCTTGCATATTCTATTGCATCAACAAAGATGGGTATTCCATATGCACAGGCCAGGGAGGCAGTGCCACTTGCCATTTAATGACCATTAAATTTTTGATCAGTAGTCATTTTGTATTCATTTGGCAACTGTGCTTGGAGGACTGACAGAATGGAACTTGTCAGGCTGGTAGCCTGCATTTTTCGTGCCCATCAATGCAACATGGGTGTGGTCACAGCATGGCAGCATGGGCTGCTGGCTTATCATCTCCACAATATTGTACATGATTGTGAACCTAGTAATATATCTGTGTTATCCTTATCCTCTTTGTGGCTGCATTGTGAACAAGCTGTCCACTGTCATCACAATACCAGGGTGTGTGTCAGAGCAGTGCAGACACAGTGTAACTATGTGGCTGCAAATAACAGGACATGCTCAGGCAGAAATTGCAGCTCACCCTGACTTTGATTGCATGATATTTCAACTATTTTAAGTGAAGAGTGCAGGCTCGTTTCGGCCGGTTCGCTGCACCCTTTCTCTCAGCGCCTCGCCCGTGGATTAGTCGCAGAACCCCGCCGATGTCGCCGCGCGTTGGTGGAGAACCAGCGGTGTATTGTTACTTTTCGCTTATGTTGACCCGCTGTCACCACCCGGAAGCGGTTGCGGGCGCCGGTGACTGCGCGCACACACGCGCACGCGCCTACACGCACGCGCACACACGCACACAATATGTCGTCGAAGGTTGTTGGGATAGAGCTGAACTCAACAGCAGGCCAACAGCCCGTGCCCGTGCCCTTCACGGTTCTGGCGGGGAAGGGCGTGAAGCGACAAAGCCTTGCTGGTCCTCGGCATTTGAAGACTTCACAGCGGATGAGCTGCCAGTGAAGGACGCGCGTACCTCTCAGTCCGTCCGTTGTCAGTCTTCGTCGGTAGGTTATGTGGACATGCCAGGATATGGGGCTGGTGCTTAAAGCGGGGCGAAAGTGGGCCAGGAACCAATGGCCCAACCGGTCATGATATATGTGCTAGTTGTAGATGGAAGCAACGAGATACACATACAGTTCAGGTGTTGGCTTATGACATCAAGAGCGCTCACGGAAGCCGCCCTAGTTTTGTGCACCAATCCACGTTTAAACTTTGCGAAAAGCGGTTTTCGTCGTCCTCGCATATCATACGACTAATCGTTCTGCGCCTTGGAGGGCCAGTTTCACTGAGATACCTTTCCGGCTGACACAACAGGTTTGCCATGCATATCAAACCATCCGTTAAACGCTCAGTAGTCGTAGTATCTGAGTTGCGGTAAGCGTAGACCGACGCCCGTGTTCAATCATTAGAGCGTTGCCCTGTCCGGGCGCCGTTGATGGCCGGAAGCGATGGTCTGCAGCGCGTGACGCGGCGCGTGGCCCTACCGCCGGCCATGAAGGGTTGGCCGTCGCCGCCGCGCCACCCGGGCGTCCCCAGCCGGCGGACGCGGCGCCCGCGGCGACGAGCCTCTCGCCGTGCCGGTGGCGCGGGGTGCGACCGGGCCGCGGTCTGTGTACAGGGCGCGTGACGTGGGGCTGACTGCGCTGTGGTCGAGGTGGAAAAACGGCCCGTCGGGCATTGGGCAATCTGGTTGCCGGCTTCTCTCCCACAAGGTTGCCATGACGCTAATCAGATCGGTCCGGACTGGTGCGGGAGGGGAGAAGGGGGGGGGGGGGGAGCTCCGGCGGGGCCCCAGCCTGACCGTGGGGCCGTCACGTGCCGCAGCGTGCAGCAAGTCGCTGGCGCAGGGCGGCTTCTTCACCAAGAACGGCGAGTACTTCTGCTCGGATGACTACCAGCGCCAGCACGGCACCAAGTGCGCCGTCTGCGGCCAGTATGTGGAGGGCGAGGTGGTCACGGCGCTCGGCAACACCTACCACCAGAAGTGCTTCCTCTGCGCTCGTTGCAGGTAAGCGCGCCGGCGGCCAGGCGCGCCCCGGCCGCCGGCGCCGACGGGGCTGGCGGCTGCGGGACCGGAGCGGGAGCGGGAGCGAGGAGCGCGCAGACGCAGTTTTGTGGGTCGGCTGCCCGGCCGTCGGCTGGCTGGATGGTGTTTGACAACGCTGGTTTGCGTGCGGTGCGACGGACGCTTGGCTTGTTTACGTTATGACATCACCGACCCGCCTGCGGGTGGCCCTGTTGGTATCGCGCTAGGTGGTATATGGATTCGAGAACAGGTTCGGTCAGTGATCAAGGGGGAAAATGGCTCACTTTTCCCGGTGGCCATTTGTTGGCTCCTGGCTGGATCGGAACTGCGGCGATGGTAGTTAAGGAGCCGGAGGGAAACGTTATTTTTTTGTTTACATTCATAGAAAGCCGCTTTATCGCCTGATTGCCGACTAATGTTTATGCCGGCCACTGTTTTCCTCTTCAATTTGTGGACTTTTTCCGGCAACATTGGTGGTGAAGAGATGAATGCCAGTTTGGTGTACTAATGTACCCCGCTTTGGAGGCAAAGCTTCGCCGATGTGCTGCGACAGAGACGGAAATGACTGGCAAAAGGAGACATGTCGTTAGAATCACATGGTATGGATATGAGATGCAAATTATGTAGGTAGCTCTAAACCAGCTGTTCGTCGAATCAAGCTCAGCTCGCCTTCCCGTGTGCTTCTGTAGTTCTTCTGCACAGTAAGGCCCGCGGGCCTGCGGCCTTTCTGGTCTTCCTGGCATTCCCGTTGATCATCTTACACGCCGCGACAAACAACTGCCAATGGCTGGTACTGGTCAATCGATATTCAAACCGCCGGCGGCCGACCCCGTTTTACCGTGACCGTGTTCAGATGGGGCGCCGAGGCTGACTGCTCGCTCGACCTTTCAGGCAGCCGTTCCCCTCTGGCGAACGGGTGACCTTCACGGGCAAGGAGTGCCTGTGCAGCAAGTGCGTGCAGATCCCGGTGGTGGACTCGCTGTCGCCGCAGCACTCGCCGTCGCGCGGCGGACCGAGTGAGTACCGCCGTCGCCGGGGTGTCCCCGGCGTGCCGCTGCCGTCCCCAATTGGCCGTCGTTGAGTGGCGGCGTGGACGGACGCAGCCGTCAGCTGCTGTTTCCGGGAGGCGGGGAGGCCGGGAGGCCTGCGGGAGCAGAGGCGGAGGGAGGCGGGGCGCCGGGGCAGGTGCGACGCGCGCGGAGCGGCGTGTCGAGGGAGGGTGGGCGGTTGGAATCTGACGGCGCGATTCGGCGAGATTGCGGGCTAAATCTGGGGACATTTGTCTGAGCTGGAGATTTATTGCCCAGCGTTGGCGGTGTGCCGGTTGATGAGGGCGGGATGGTCCGTACGGCTGGGGGTCTGTTTCCGTTTTCTGACTCGGCCTGCTCCCTTGCTCCACGTCATCCGAAGGTTTACTGCGGATGCGGGGAATGGGAAGGTGGGGATGGGGGAGGGGGGGGGGTGTAAGGGGGGCTTTACATTAAGCGGTCACGCTGACAGGTCTAGGACGACGGCGGGATCACCCTGCGGCACCTCCGGGGGCGGGGAGGGTCTGCCAATGCTGACGCCGGGTCGCGCTGCCAACTGCGCCCCGCGGACCGGCAGGGGCTGGTCATGTCTCGTCCGCTTCCGTTCAAAATGGCGCGTACCGGCCGTCGCGGCAAGAACCCGTCTTTTTGCGTGCCTGGCTCGTCGACTATCAAGAGAGGACAGTTCGGTCCATTGTCCGCGCCTGCGCCGTCATGCAGATGCACCCTGGACCGTGACGGCCGCTGCTCTAACGGTGCTCACGGCCGCCACCGGCGTATTGGTGGGGTAGGATGCGGCTGTGGCGTGGTGCGTCGTGCTGACTGAGTGCTGAGGTCAGCTCTTCATTGGCAAGGTCACTGCCTAACGTTGTTGTTGCCTCTGGCCTCGCTGGGAGCTACGTCACAACAGCTCGTGCTCTTTGGACTTGCATTCGCTCTTGCATGACGTAGCCCCCATGACGTCACAGGCAACAGCGTCAGGTGACGACCATGCCAGTGAAGACTGGACCGGGGTTGTGCTGCGGCGAACCGTGTGTCCGCATATTGCGGCGGTCGGTGCGCACCGCCCCTGGCACGCCGCGGCGCACCCGCCCGCCGGCGACGGGCCTCGTTTGCCGATACCTGGCATGCCCGCATGCGGGTGATCGCGTTACCCACCGAGCAGGCGTATTGTAAAAACAGCCGGCGCCCGCCGACGGCCGGCGCTGCCTGGCAGCCGTCGGCCGTCGGCCGCCAGACCGCGCGCGCCACGCCCACCCGCTCGGCGAGCGGGGGCGGGGGCGGGGGCGGGGTAGCGCGTGCTGGATACTGACGCTGCGGTCTTCTCTTCCCCTCTCTCCCGCCCTGTCGGCCGTGTTCGCTGGGCCCGACAGACGACCGTCATCTGGGCAGTAAGTTGTCTGTGTGGGCCGCCGGAACGCGACGCGCGTGCTCGGGTGACCGGGTGCTGGGCAGTAAGTGTGGCACGCTCGTCCTGTTCTCTCTCGTCACTCTCGCTCTCTCCCGCTCCGGCTAGCTGGACTCTCTGCTCGCCCCCCGTTTGTCCGCTGTCTTGCTGTCGGCCTGTCCGGTGAGCCGGTCTGGCGAAGGTCGGCGGTTGCTGTAGTGGCGCCGGTGCCGGGCGCCTGCCAGCTGCGTTTGGGTAGCGTTTGTCTGGGCGGCCTGGCTGCGGCGCTAGGAGCCCGCCGTAGTTTGTAGATGTGGGCAGACTGTGCGTAGAACCCGCTCTACTGAGTCTAGTCCGGGTGGAGCATGGGGAGCCTGGTGTCGCCCTTGTTTGGAGTTCCCCTGGTGCCGGACGGCCCGCTGTACATCCACAACCTCGCTGCATGCCATGGTGAATGGGGCGGGCGTGTTGTGACGAGCTAGTAGTGCGGGCGTGGCGGCCGTCTTGGGCTGGCGTTCTGGGGGCGTCGGCGGTGTTTTGTGGCTCGTCTGGGCTTTGGGTGGGTGCTTGGTGTCTCCGGTAAGGTGCCAGTGAGTGTCGGGTGCTAAGGGAAGGTGACGTTGACGGTTGTCGCTGCCGAGTTGACGTGCCTGGTGTCGCCTAGTGGTGGGCTAGGCCGGGTGCCACGCGGACAGTGCGTGTCCTCCGCGCATCACCAGCGGCCGCGCAGCGAGTGTCGAGGGGCAGCAGACCACAGCGCGGGCTGTGGGGGTGTCTGTGCGTGGCCGTCAGCCCGCCGCCGCGGGCCGTTGTCGGCTGCTGCTGGATCGCAGACGCTCGCGAGTGCCGTTGAAGAGAAGAATGTGCACTACAGGACGAACATGCAAAGGATAGTCTTGTTATGTCCATGTAGTCCGATACCCTCGTGACGACAGATCCGCAGCAAATATCCTCGCGTGGACATATTCTCATTGCAGGTACCCTCGCGACGACAGATTTTCATGGTAGATATCCTTGCGACGACAGATTCTCATAGCAGATATCCTCGCGACAACAAATTCTCATAGCAGATACCCTCACGACGGCATATTCTCGAAGGAGATACTCCCGCGACGACAGATTCTTTTAACAGGTACCCCCGCGACGACAGATTCTCAGAGCGGATACCTTCGTGACGACAAATTTGCGTAGCAGATAGCGTCACGTCGACAGATTCTCATAGCAGATACCCTCGTGACATATTCTTATAGCAGATATCCTTGCGATGACGGATCCTCATAGCAGATACTCTCACGACATGCTCCATAGCAGATACCACCTCACGGAAATATTCTTATAGCAGATATCCTTGCGATGACGGATCCTCATAGCAGATACTCTCACGACGACAGACTCTCATAGCAGATACCCTCGTGACATATTCTTATAGCAGATATCCTTGCGATGACGGATCCTCGTAGATACTCTCACGACGACACTCTCATAGCAGATACCCTCGTGACATATTCTTATAGCAGATATCCTTGCGATGACGGATCCTCATAGCAGATACTCTCACGACGACACTCTCATAGCAGATACCCTCACGAAATATTCTTATAGCAGATATCCTTGCGATGACGGATCCTCATAGCAGATACTCTCACGACGACACTCTCATAGCAGATACCCTCACGAAATATTCTTATAGCAGATATCCTTGCGATGACGGATCCTCATAGCAGATACTCTCACGACGACACTCTCATAGCAGATACCCTCACGAAATATTCTTATAGCAGATATCCTTGCGATGACGGATCCTCATAGCAGATACTCTCACGACGACACTCTCATAGCAGATACCCTCACGACGACAGACTCTCAAAGCAGATGTGCTGGTAGTATAGTGGTTAACGCGTCTGCGTTAACCACTGCGCGTCTGGGAAACCAGAGGCACGGGGTTCGATTCCCCGCGGTGCCCGCCCTTCCTGCTGGGGTGGGAGGCAGGCGACGCCATATGGCCTCAGCAGCTGAGTGCGTCGTAAAGCCCCGATGACACACACACAAGCAGATACTCTTATGGCGTGTTGCTGCGCGGAAAACTATCCTCAGTCCCTGCTCCCGGTTCGATTCCTGGCTGCCGCTGCGCGCTCTGGGCGCTAATATGCGCACTGGTTGTCAGCGCTCCGTGGAGGATTGCGCGACAGTGTGCACCGCGCAGTCCCATGAGGAACGCAAGTGACTGCACAGCCAACTGCGCTGTCTTTTCCCGTCCGTTTCCCGTGTTTCCCCGTCACTCCAGCTCCGTGCACCGCGACCGAGTGCCGGCCACATTTTGTCAAACCTGTCAGTGCTCTGTCCCGGCTCGTGTCCGCGTGCTGTCGAAGTCATGAGCGAGTAAGCGCACCCCGTGACCAATGACGTGGTGATCGAAAAGGTAAAACTCAAATCGATTGGCGGCGGCACTGACGCCGTCACGAACCCTCCGGTCGATGGCGTAAGCGATTGGTCACGTCGGCCGCTCTCGGCGAGGTCCCGGGCCACAAGGCTAGCCACCGCTGTGGGCGGCCGGCTCGTTCAGTGGTTCCTGCCCATCTCGTCGGCGGCATCCTTGAGCGTGGCGGAGCCCGACCGCGGTCTCCCTCCGATCGCGCCGGTCGGCCTCTCCCCGGCCGTACCTCCGTCGCGCGGCGCAGACGCCGTCACGTCACAGCTCGGACGCCGATTGGCCAGGCTTTGACAGAGCGCGCGTTACGGACTGGGACGTGATGGCGGCGCCGCGGGTGTCGTGAGCGCTGGCCCGGTGTGTGGACGGTCTGACGCGCCGACTCGTGTCGACCGCGCGCTCGCGGGCCGACCGGAGATGCGCGCGACAGCGGTTTGGCTGGTCCACGTGGTCTGTCATCGTGGCACTTAAACTCGATGGTCGCGGTTCATGTCAGATGCGCTAATAGACAGGAACTCTCATCAATCGATTCTGGAGCGTTTTGTTTGATCGTCATTCGATTATGGCGCAAATACATGGCCGTCACGTTACGTACCAGCTGCTATGGGCTATAAACTAGCAAAGTTCATGCGACCGAAATAGCGTCGTAACGCTTGTAGTTTATCAAGGTTGAGCATTTCACCGCTCTAGCAACTGTAGTTCCTTATCTCCAAAACCCTTGAACCCCTGCCCCTGAATGTGTGTCCGGAAAGCTGGTCTCGTTTGCGGTGTCCGCCGTGATGTCTCTCGGCGGTGAGACCGGTCGCCGGTCTCCACTCGTCTGGCTCGGCAGCGTGTCCGCGCGTGTCCGTGTGTTTCGTGTCCGCGCTGTGGCGACGATGTCTTCGGTCCCCCAATGCGACGGTTCGCCTTCCTGCTGGGGTTCGCTGGCTCGCGGCACTGGCCCCGCTGGCTGGACAGAGCGCCGCGTCACCGGTTCTGGCCGTCGCCGCCGCCGCGCCTCCGACGGCAACGCGTGCGCCACGTCCCGGAGCCGGCGCGTGCCCGCGACCCTCACTCAACTCAGCGCTGTCAACACGCGCGCCTCGCCGGTCGCCGCGTGCCGCCGCGTGTGGAGCCGTAGCGCCCCGCCGCGCTCTCCGCTCCACGCCCCCCACCCCGCCTCCGCCTTCCCCTCCGCCCCCGCTCACCTCTCGCCGCCCCCGCTCGCCGACCCCCGTTCGTTCCGGTCCGAGCCGCCCTGCAACACACCGCAGCGTCGCTCAGGCGGGACGCTGCGCCCGCTGCGTGCCGGCGGCAGTGCGCCGCCGCAAGCGGCGCCGAAGCCCGGCGGCGATGGCGTGCGGAGCGGCGCCCGGCTCCGGCGGCGCTCCCGGCCGCGGCGTCAGCCGGCAGCGCGCGCCATGAGCGCGGCGCGCCGGCCCGGCTGGCGCGCCGCCAGCGGCCGCCGCCCGGCCGACCCGTGAGTCAGCGGTGACGTCACAGCGGCGGCGCGCGGCGCGGCGCCCTCCGCTCGCGCTGTTTACTCCAGCGTGGCCCGGCCGGGGCCGGGTGCGGCCGGCCCGGACGACCGCAGACAGCCCGCGGGCCAGCCCGCGGTCCGGCCGGAGGCACGGCCGCGACCACAGGCGCGCCGGCGATGAAAGCGGCCGGCTCAGGGCGGTCCTCGTGCCGACCGGCGCCGAGGAGGAGCGGATGACGGACGACGAGCGGGAGAAGGAGGCGTTCTGGTGGGGGTCCTGCGTGGTGCGTTGATGTGCCGCTGCTTGTATGCTGGCACCGTCGCGGGAGAAGAACCTCTTCGCCGTATCCCACTCCACGTAAAAGCAAAACGACGTGTGCAGCTCTGCGGGAAATCGTGACATTCGCGGTGCTGCTTTGCACGGACAGGTACACATCACTAACACTCGTACCGGGGATGTGTGCTGTGATTTGGGTGAGTCGGCTGATGTGTGGGTGCGGGTGTGAGTCTGCCTCGGGTGGTTAAGCCGGGCTCGGTGCTGGGACGTGACCGGCGCGGTCCCGCTGACCTGACCTGACTTGACCTCGCCCGCCGCCGCGCAGAGTGCTCCGGCTGCCACCAGGACCTGACCGAGTCGCAGGCGCTGATCGCGCTCGACAAGCCCTGGCACATCTGGTGCTTCAAGTGCACCACCTGCAAGGCCCTGCTGCACGGCGAGTACATGACCAGGTGGGTGCCGCCGGGCCGCTGTGGGGCCGCCACCGCCTGCGTGACGAGGATTACGCCCCCGCACCGCTAAAACCAGCCGCGCAGCAGGCGGGGGTGTGGCCGACGTCACACGAGGCGCTCCTGGAGGGAGGAGGAGGCTGCGCCGGGGACGGCAGGTCATGGCCGAGCACGCTTAACCGTCCGGACGGCAGGACAGCGCGTTACGGTTGGGCGAAGCGCTGTTCTGACGGGGCGGCTACTCCGGCGCTCCCCTCCCATCTCCGTCGCCTCCCCACGTACCGGCGGCGGGGGCGGGCCGGAGCGCACGCCCTACGCGTCTTAAAATGGCGCGTGATTCACGAGGCGACGAGGCGGAGCTAGTACGTGGCGGCCGGTGTCCGCCCGGCGGGCGTTCGCGGTCGATCGAAATGCATTCATTACTCCGATGGCGCCTGCGATGCGTTGTGCGATATGAGGGCGCTGTCCGCCGGCGGTAATCCCGCAGGCGCCTCGCGCTGACGGGAGCTGGGTGGAGCTGGAGCTGGAGCTGGGTGACAGGAGTCCGTCACTGTCATGCTTGGCCTCAATAGCTGCTGCCGCACGGACACGGCGCCTGCAGTTGAAAGGCTACCCATCCATGCGAAGCGTCCCGAGGTTTTACGTTTTGTATGGATTTCCTTGCTAGCGTTTTGCTGACGCTCGATACCATAGCCTGCCGAAATTAAAACTAAACTGGACGATGTCCAATGGGGTAGGTGCCCGAGAGACGGCCACTAACCGCGCCGTGACGGCTCACGCGCTGGCCGGCGCTGCTTGCTCGCCTGGTCAGACCGCTGCACATCGTATTACGGGCACAAACACGGAGCCAATTGTAAGGCAATCTGGGAGGCATTGTTGGAAGGCTCCTCGCACAATCTCGTGGGAAGTGTCGGTGGGGTGCGTGAGCGGCCACCAGCGGTGTTTGTTTCCGCTCTGACCAGGCTTATCTGTGGCCTTTATTTGCGCTGTGAATCTAGCAATCGGGGAAGTTCGGGATAAGCTGCTGCGGCGGGTTTTACATCCCACGTGCCAATGTCGACCGTAATGTATGTATCGTCAAATATAAATGCTTTGGACATTGGCACTATTTGTTAGATTTTCAAATGGTACTAACGTCTAAAACGTCTGCATGATTTGGCGACGGTTGGAGGGCACAGTTCAAAGTTGTTCATTGGCGAAAAAAGCATTTCAGCGCGCCGGAGACACGTGAAGTTGGTTGCACAGCGTTTGAAAACATCGCAAGCTTTCAGTGTACTCATTTTAACAATGCTACCTAAATTTTTGTTGTTGACATTGAGTTGCATGCATGTGTGCATGTAAAACACGTATGTATATGCAAATTCCGATAACCGAGCATGTGCACCCGGTGCCCCCCCCCCCCCCCCCACTTGCACACACCTCCAGATTTCAGTGCCGACTGCCAGAGAACTTGACGGACTTGCACTCGGATAATCCCAGCTTTTGTGTGCTGCAGCACATGACCGGCTTTATGACGTCGTTCTGGAAACAAATGCTTGCGGCTTGCATGCAAACTGGGTGACGTCAGCCACTTGGAAAGCGCTTGCGGCTGGCACTAACTAGGCGCGACTGCTCGTTGTGCCCAGAATCCTGCCGCGGATTTGCATAACAGCACGGGGGTTCATTTACGTGCATTGGGCTTCCCTTAGCTCAAACGTGTGTTTCTCCGCCAGTTCATTTGTAGTCAATGCCGCAACAAGTAGGCGTTGTTGGCGCTCGACGTGCGGTTGTTTTTGCATGAAGGGAACGGTAAAATCAATAGCTTGGGCGTACTCGGCGTATTTGAGGATATTGGACCGTCTGAATTGTCGCCGGTCTTAGGCACCAGTCACACCACAGCTTATTACCACATAAAAATAATCCGGGCGTCCTTGCGTGACATGGGGGGGGGGGGGCTGCGGCGTGGGCGGGGGGGGGGGGGGCTACGCTAGCGGCCTGGCCGTCACCGGCGCCTCTGCCCCGCTCCCTCACGGCCGACCCCCGTGCCGTCACGTGTGACCCAGTCGCCGAGCCGGCGGGCGATAGCAGAATCGGCTCGGGCCGGGCTGCCGGGAACGCCGGCCGGCCGCGTGCGCCGCTGTCGCTCCGAACGCGTCGGGATCGCCCCGGTGCCTCGACAGGTAGCTCGGTAACAAGATCACCGAGCGTGTGCGGCCGGGGCTTCCACGGTGTCGGCACGCGGATGTAGGGGCGTATGTCGGCCGGAGGCGGGAAGGGGGGGGGGGGGGGCAGCAGCGAGCCGTGAATTCACGGCCGGCTTGATGAGTAACGGTTCGGCGTCCCGTTTCTGGCTGGCCGTTTGCGAGCAATTGGCGCGGCTCTCGGTTGCAGAATGTTGCAAGCTGTGCACCGTACGACGCGACTGGCCTCGGTGGGAGTCGCCGCTTCGCAGAGATCGTGACGTCAGTTGAGCAACTGAGCCGGCTCCGGACACTGTCCGCCGGCACGGACGGCCGGCTCGGCGGTGCGGCTACTCCAGCCGGGACTGCGGTCGCCCGCCGGCCGGGGCGAAAGCTCCCACGCCGCGGCGATTCGTTCCGTCGGCGGGGCGCGTCCCGGCCGAGCCGGGCCGGCGGCGGAGAGTGGGAGCGCCTCTCACCTGCCGGCGTCGCGTTTGTTCAATACCGGACCGGGCGCCGCGCGGCCGTCGGCGGCGGCAGCGGCCACGTGCGTCGCTTCCCAGAGCGTGTGGCGGCCGTCTGGCTCGCGGGGCCGCGCCTCAGGGAGAGCGAGGGGGAGAGAGGGTGCTTAGTAGCGGTTGGCGGAGCCGAGGAGAGCGCTAGGTCACCCGACGAAGGGCAACAGAACGCAACGAAACTGGAAATGTTCTGCTTTGGACTGATCTGTCTGCCAAACAGCGTGGGAGCTGGACGTGGAGGGCGCTGGGCGCTGTGAGGGTGCGGCATCGGGATGGGACGGCATGGCGTCGGGATGGGACGGCAGGGTGTTGGGATGGGGTCATCGGCGGTCGAGTGAGCGCCTGGCCGTGACGGCCACCGGGTGGGGGCGGCGGCCACGGATGAGGACGGGCTGCGACGGCGGATTTGGATGGGGATCGCCTGCGAACGCTTGGCAGGGATAGGAACTGGCCCCGAGATGGGGATAGGAACTCGCTTCTAACGTCGAATGGGGATAGGAACTGCCTATGAGCGTGAGGTAGGGATCGAGGTAAGCTCCGAGCGTTGAATAGGGACAGGGACTGGCTACGGGCGTTTGATAGGGGTGGAGACTGGCTCCGAACGCTATGCAGGGATGGGGGGGACTACTTGGAACGTTGGATAGCCATTTTCTCCGCCAGTCACGGTAAGGACCGTTCAGGAACGTTACCTATGGGATGTGATCGGGCTACGAACGTTGAATATAAATGGGGGTGTGGGGGGGGGGGGGGGGGGAGGGGGGCTAACGAACGTCGCGAAGGGAATATGACGAGCTTGCAAGACTTACGTTGACACAACTAGAATTCTGGAAAGCTTGGGATCTGCCCGGGAAACGCTACACATGCTCGGGAACCCGCAGCGCTGGGCGAAGATCAGGACCAGCCTTTCAGCTGGGGTGGATCGGACGCACTGGGAGCGTGACGGGCTGGGATGGACGCGGGCCGGCCCACGCCTCCATCGGCTCTTGGCAGGCGGACGGGTGACGGGCAGGGTGCCGCATTCCCCGGACGGTGACGTCAGACGTCTGCCAGCGATGCTCTGCCTTCGGACGTGCATGGCTGCGAGGTCCTGCAGTCCCACGTTGCGGACCCTCACTGGCGTAACGGGGAGCGAGCGAGATTGCCAGAGGCTGGCGTGCTTGGAAGCGGCGATCATTGTTTTTCTTTTCTTGTAGGGATTACTGTCTAGGGATTCTAGATGTTGGTCGTGGCTGTGGTCTTTGGAAGTCGGGCAGACACTAGTCAGCACTTGCGACACCCGGTTGATCGAAGCCCGCGGCGTGCAGCATCAGCATCTAGCGGAGGCGGCCTGCGACTTCCACTCGCTTGCTGAGCCCTGTAGAGCGATGTGGTTTTCGTCGGAGCTGAGTTAGCCTGGTTGGCCGGGCGGCTGATCCCGATCAGCCCGTCACTGCAGTCCTCAGCGCTGCTCTGGGCTCCAGACGACCGGATGACCGCGCCATTAGACATTGGGGCATTACGTCTGTTGAAATGGAGCTGTGTGTGCCGGATATTGAAAGATTAACCACTACATTGAGAACCTCGGCGTTGATCATGTGTGTCAGATCACACATGGCTATCGTTGTATCTCTAACTGACGATTACCAGCAGAAGGCTCAGAATGTTTAAAAGGGAGGACTAGTCAAGTTCGTGCACTCATTAGGTGGATAATTGATTACCAAAATGAATATTTCTGATGTCGTTGCAGATGCCAATCAAGTCTCGCATGACCATAGTCTTTAAAGTTAATTTAGGTTATTTGGACGCATGTTTACAACGCTGGAATCCTTTCTTAACATTACAGGGCTCCACACCAGATGACACTGTTATACGCCATTTCCATAGAAGATAAATGAGAAGCCCACTGGCCCGTGGCGTTTCTTTTTCAACTTCCAAACAATAGCCAGTAATAAATGATGCGCGCTCGCAGTACACACACGTGTCCAAACGGATATGTCTGGCTCCAGCGTCTGTGTGCATCGAGCGGCGGCCGCGCCCGTCTCAGGGGTCGGCGGGCGGCCCGTCTCGCTGGGCGCGGAGGTCGGTCGGGTGCCGTCCGCTCTCTCCGCGTACCGCTCGGCCCGTATATGGCCCTCGTCGGCCGCAGAAGCTGTCGGCGAGGGTGCGCTATCGCGCAGTGATGTAATATTTACGAGTGATTCATTTGTCAGTGCCGACCGACTGTCCCCCGGGCCTCAGATAGCGCTCCTCGACCTGGTCAGCGGAGGGATTGCCCTTCACGGCGCCCCTCAGCTTCTGATGTTTTGTTAGCACACGATGTCTTGTGGGCGTGCGTGACTGGCATGGTGAGCTCAGAAAAGTCACGTGGGATGGGGACGTGCTCTGTTCTTTAGGGAACGCTCTTCAATTTCGTGGAGAGAGACGGTGTTACAGCTCTGCAGTTGGCCGCGTGCTGGCGAAGTTTATGTAACACACCGCGAGCGTAGAATCACGCTCTTTCCCTCCAAGATATCCTACGAAATTTGTGTCGAATTACAGCACCCACCCGTGGCAGCATTGGTGTAATTTCACGACGGATGAAACTGTCATGGCCGCTGGCACCTCGTCTCTCACGCCGAGCGTGGATGTGTATTGCTGTATCCGGGCGTATTGCTGCAACTGTCGGGCGCAGTGGTGCTTCTGATACCCGGCCCGTATCGCCAGCCGACCTTAGTAGTACTCGTCCCCCCCCCCCCGTCCCTTGCCTGGGTCCGATAGGCTCCCTCCTCTCACGGGCGGGCGGTGGCTGCCTCTGAGCATCGGCCTGCGAGATTGGCGTCTGTCGCCGTCGCCGCCGCCGCCCGCTGACGTGGCGGGCCGTAGCCGGCCGTCGGCGCCGGCCCGCACCGCCAGCTGGGCCGGCGAGAGGAGCACCGCGACAGCTGTGGCGCCGGCGTTATTGAGGCGGCGAGCGCTCGCGGGAGAGAGAGAGAGGAGAGAGAGAGAGAGAGAGAGAGAGAGAGAGAGAGAGAGAGAGAGAGAGAGAGATAGAGAGAGAGAGAGAGAGAGAGAGAGGAGAGAGAGAGAGGAGAGAGGAGAGAGAGAGAGAGAGAGAGAGAGAGAGAGAGAGAGAGAGAGAGAGAGAGAGAGAGAGAGAGAGAGAGAGGAGAGAGAGAGAGAGAGAGAGAGAGAGAGAGAGAGAGAGAGAGAGAGAGAGAGAGAGAGAGAGAGAGAGAGAGAGGAAGAGAGAGAGGAGAGAAGAGGAGAGAGAAAGAGAGAAGAGAAGAGAGAGAGGAGAGGAGAGAGAGAGAGAGAGAGAGAGAGAGAGAGAGAGAAAGAGAGAGAGAACGAGAGAGAACGAGAGGTGCTTGGTAGCGAGAGGCGGGGCCGAAGAAAGCGACAGATGGCAGGACGAGGGGCAGTAGAACGCAACGAATCTGGAAACGTTCTGCTATGGCCTGATCTGTTTTGCTAAATACCATGGGAGCTGGGCGTGGACATTGGCTGGCGGTGTCTTATATAATATGAATGCCTATAAAACTGTGAAACATTGGACTATCTGTGGTGGGTGTGGTCCTAGTTTGCCATTTTCCCACGCGCTTGCAAATAAATTGTGCAAAAAAGCTTGTGGTCGAGGCGCCGTAAGGGCTCAGCTGGCTACCTCCAAACCAGCTCTGGGCGGCGCCCCTCGTCAGCCCGGCACTAGCCCCCTCGTCAGCCCGGCACCAGCCCCTCGTCAGGCGCCCCTCGTCTGTCCGACACCAGCCCCATCGTCAGCCTGGCGCCAGACCCCTCGTCAGCCCCGCACCCGCCAGTGTCCGGGGCGTCTCAGCCGGAGCGTACACGGGTCAGCGGCGCGGCCCGCAGGCGCCGGCCGTGCCGCCGCATCGACCGCCGCCCGCTCCCCTCCCCACGGGACCGTATTTACTCTGCGGCGCCCGTGGCCGTGGTGTGACGCCGGCGTCCGACGGCGGCGGCCGGAGAGCGGGTGACATCGGTCGGTCGCTGGAGACGGATCGGAACCGGCCGCCTCCGCCCGGGCTACGCGGATGGCGTGGGCTGGTGGTGTGTTGCGGCGGCGGTGGCGGCGTGTGCCGGCCTTGGGCGGCGACCGTGACGTGTGTGGAGTGGCGGGCTCTGGCGGCGTGACGCGGTGCTCTGCTGAGTGGCGCCCGCTTGTCGAGGCGCCTTTGTCGGTAGGTTTTTGTCGGCGCGGCGTGGGCGGGCGTTAAGAGATAGAATTCGCAGGTCTCTTTTGAGCTGAGTGCGTGACTCACGTGGGCGGAAGTGTCCGGACGCTCCGTGTCTTGTGAGCTCGCGGGGAGCCCATCAGCCAAATGCGAGCTCATTATGCTGATGAAACGGTGTGTTTACGGGTGTCTGCGGCGCCGGGCCCAGTGACACGACGGGGGCAAATCGGTCCGACTCCGTGGCCGGCGTGTGACGCTCCTGCACGCCATCTGTTGCAGAGATGGAAAGCCGTACTGTGAGAAGCACTACCAGGCGGAGTATGGCGTCAAGTGCGCCTACTGCCAGCGTTACATCAGCGGCAAGGTGCTGCAGGCCGGCGACAACCACCACTTCCACCCGACCTGCGCGCGCTGCACCAAGTGCGGCGACCCCTTCGGTGATGGCGAGGAGATGTATCTGCAAGGTGAGGGAGGAGGAGCCTGCGGCGCCCGGCGGCGTCCCACCGCGCCGCACCGGGCTCGCCGCTGCTGGTCCCCTCGCGAACCTCCCAGCGGTATCGGAGGGCGAGGAGGTGGCCGCCGTGTGGACGCGGCGCCGGGCGGCGGCCGCGGGCCTGACCTGCCGCCCGTGCCGCAGGTGCTGCCATCTGGCACCCGCGCTGCGGCCCCGGGCCGACCGAGAACGGGCTCATCATCAACGGCCAGCACGACGCGGACGAGAGCGCGGCAGACCGCAGCGCCGAGCTGGACCGGCTCTCGACCAGCGCCAGCGAGACACAGGTACGCCGGCGGGCCCGCTGCGGCGCCGAGCTGGAGTGGCTCTCGACCAGCGCCAGCAAGACACAGGTACACCGGCGGGCTCGCTGCGGCGCCGAGCTGGACCGGCTCTCGACCAGCGCCAGCGAGACACAGGTACACCGGCGGGCCCGCTCCGCGCGCCGAGCTGGACCGGCTCTCGACCAGCGCCAGCAAGACACAGGTACACCGGCGGGCTCGCTCCGCGCGCCGAGCTGGACCGGCTCTCGACCAGCGCCAGCGGAACACAGGTACACCGGCGGGCCCGCTCCGCGCGCCGAGCTGGACCGGCTCTCGACTAGCGCCAGCGAGACACAGGTACAGCGGCGAGCTCGCTGCGGCGCCGAGCTGGACCGGCTCTCGACCAGCGCCAGCGAGACACAGGTACACCGGCGGGCCCGCTCCGCGCGCCGGCCGAGCCGGCGGCTCGGAACCCAGCGCGGGCATGGCGGCATGCTGCGCGTCGGGCGAGGCGCCGAACGAGCGCCGATGATTAGTTGGCTATAGGTTTGTTTGACGTGATGTGGTTTTTTGGCGTGCATTTGTTCTGATTTGGATCGAGTTTACTGCCCTTGTAGTATTGCATCCTGCCTGGCTTTGTGTGATGAGCGATGTGTCGGTTTTTCATTTTGTTTTGTTTTGTACCATACATAGATATGCGTGTAGCTGTTGCCTGCGGCAGTTCACAGCACCGAGCCCACTCACTGCCCGAGTCACACGATCACAAAGCAAGCCACACGTCGCACGTCACAGATCAGTCAGCAGTCGCACACAAACTCAGCAGTCACGCACAAACTCAGCAGTCACCGAAACTCAGCAGTCACACACAAACTCAACAGTGACACGCAAACTCAGCAGTCACACGCAAACTCAGCAGTCGCACACAAACTCAGCAGCCGCACTCTGACACTCTCGGGCTCTGTGAGCGGGCCGTTTGCCGCACTCGTTTGCACGCCCTCCGGCGCGAGCGTCGCTGTCTTATTTGGAATGCCCGCGTGCGAGCCTGTGTAGCCGTCGTCGCGCTGGCTGGTGGGCCGCTGCCTGTCGGCGCTTGGCTGCTCGCGCCCACTAACACGGACGGTGGCGCGCGCCGCCTGGCTGGCCACGGCTGTCCTGTGTTGCAGTTTTCGTTCCGCTCGCGGTCGCGCACGCCCAGCGTGAGCGGCTCGTGCGGCATCGCGAGCCCCTACCGTAGCTTCTCGCGGGTGAGTGGCGGCCGGGGCGCGCGCCCGGGAGCAGGGCGGGCCGGGGACGGCCGGCGATGTGACGGTGGGGACGGCCGGGTGTGGGGTGGGGGCGCCGCCATGGTGGCGGGAGAGACCTGCGAGCGGTGAGTGTGGGTGGGTAGCGGTGCTCCGCATGAGTCGAGCAGGGAATGCCAGGCTCCCAGCCGGGGTACATGTGAAGCGGGTAAGCCTGGTTGGGAGCGCCCGCCGCGTTGTGGCGCCCTTGACGCGCGTGGCGGGGCGGTTTCCGACCTGACGTGTGCCGCGATCCGTCCGTGATCGCCCGCCGCCGGCGTCTGACGCGCCGCGCTCGTGCCGACAGTACTCTGGCTACCGGTCGGCCAGCCCAGGCCTGCTGCTGCGCGAGTACCGCAGCAACATGACGACGCCCGTGGACGTGACGCGCATCTACACGCAGAGCTACCTGGCCGACGGCCCCACCATGGGCTACCTGCGCCGGCCGATCGAGCCGTACGACAAGCCGCCCAAGAGTCCGCACTTCCACCGGCCGCCCGCCAGTGAGTGGCCGTGGCCGGCGCCCGGGCGGCGGCCGGGTACTGAGCGCGCGGGGAACGCTGCAGACCCCGCCCGAGGCGCGAGGACAACGGCGGTGTGGGCATTGTGTCGCGGTTAGGACGTCTTGCTCGGTCGGGCTAGTCAGCGGTGTGGCAGTGAGCGGCGTCGGTCGCCTGCCACCGTGTTGTTTGTTGCCAGTCTGCTCGGTCCGGGTGTATTTGTTTGATCAGCGTCGTCGGGCCGTCTCTCCGACCTGACGCGCCGGATGCCGTTGGGACCTTCCCTGCCCACCACCACATGCTCCGACTGTACCGGTGCTTCTGCTCCGAGATATGGTCATGGAGTGCCAGATGCGCTGATAGGCACCAATGGTTAGACAGCGAGCCCCGTTGATGGCTGTTTAAACATCTGTTGTACATCCGGGGTCAGTGACCCAGCCTTTCTATAATGTCGCTGCAGTTAATCCGTTACGGACTACTGGTGCGTCATAGTAACGTCATTCTGTCGGCTCATATTTCTCGCATTCGCTGGCAGTTTTATATTTCCTCTTCGCGCATGCAAGCTGTTGGTCTTTTCGACCTGCTATGCTGATTTTCCTGTCGTGGTACCCGGAACAAAAACGCCATCTATTCGGCGCCGGCATGTTCCTGCCGGTTTACCGTACTCGTCAGTGGCTGCCAAATGTGCCGTTATGTAGACCAGGCGAAAGTGGACGCGCCGCTCACGGATCTGACTGCCTTCTATTCGGGGGGCAGGTTTTGTTCGCGACACGGGGCGCCAGTGGCCCTCGACACTGGGACGTGAGGTGACTGTGTCATAGGCTGGCGAAAGGCCCGCTGTACGCCGTGTTTTGACAGGCGTCGGCGCTCGTGGTGTGCGCGGATTTTTGTGTGGAGGGCGGGGACGACGGGACGCAGCCCGCGGTGTGTTACAGGTGAACACCGCCGCACGGTTTCCGTTGCGCTCGGTGCAGGTGGGAGCGGTCTCCCAAGTCGCCCAGCGTAGTGACGCACTGCTGGCTCGTGCGGAGTTGCAGCGGTGACGCAGTCCTTCCGTTGTGTTGATGCGGCGCTAATTACGTATGTAGCGGATGGGTTTGGTGATGGCCGTCTCACGGCTCCGTATCGAATGAACCTAATGTTTGATCTGCCTTGCATACCGGCCAAGCATCCGGGGGACCGCGCCGTGCGGCGTCGGGCCTTTCCGACCTTGGCGACGCGGCATGTCTGCTCGCCGCGCCACACTGTGCTCTGGCCCGGGAGGGCCGCCTCGGGGCCCCTCAGGGTCCCTCAGCGCCCTTCGGCCCATTGCCTCAGGGTCCCTCATTCCTACCTCGACCCCTTAGCCCTACCTTAGGACCCTAGCACCGTGTCAGCGCCCCTCAGCGCCGCCTCAGGGCCACTCAGCGCCGCCTCATGGTCCTCAGCCCCACCTCAGGCCCCTCGGTGCCGCCTCAGCGTCGCCTCATGGTCCTCAGCCCTACCTCAGGCCCCTCGGCGCCGCCTCACCGCCGTCTCGGCCGTGCCTCCGCAGGCGTGGGCTCCTCGGGCCGACGGATGGTGTTCGCGCGACCCGGCTCCCGCTCCGGCATGCAGGCGCTCGTCAACCAGATGGAGTCGGAGACGCCGCGACCGCGCTCGCCCTACATGAACAACGAGGAGCCGATTGAGCTTAGCCACTACCCGGACGCCAAGAAGCCGTCCGCCAACGAGCAGGCGAAAATCGAACGCGACGACTTCCCCGGCCCGCCGTACCCGTACACCGACCCAGGTCAGCGCAGGGAGGACGGACGGGCTCCCGGCGGGCACCGGGCGCGCTCCGGGCGGGCTCCGGGCGGGCTCCGGGCGGGCTCCAGGCGGGCACCAGGCGGGCTCCAGGCGGGCACCGGGCGGGCACCGGGCGGGATCCGGGCGCGCTCCGGGCGCGCTCCGGGCTGGCACCGGGCGCGCTCCGGGCGGACTCCGGTCGGACCGGCGCGACTGGCGCGCGGCAGACCGGACGGCCCTACACGGGCTCAGGGGAGATCAGGACAGATCCGACTCACGCTGACGGGGACTTGGGGCGGGTCATGAAAGGCACGCGGGGCTCCGCAACGCCCCAGGGCGTGAGTGATTGCACTTCTTGTCATTCTCGGTGCTCATATCACCACAGACGCACGTTGACTACAGAAGACCTTCAGTGTGCCATGATATCGTGATTCACGGGCAAGGCAGCGGTGAAACATGGTATTAAATCTGTTCTGTGTACTGATGACTGTTGACGTATGGAATGTCGTTTATTGCCATCGGGTTTTATGGTGCCGTAATTGCATCGTGATGTACACAATGTCTGCTTACATAAGCATGGATCAGAGTCGCCCCGCAACTTTGAGAGTCGCGAGCGTGACTCAGGAGGCAGCGTCGCCTGCCGGCGTCGGGAGTGTGCAGGCGACGGAGTCCAACTCGTCCCGCGCTCCGCCGACGGCCGCGCTCAGTGCGGCGCAGTGACGTCACTGACGCTGTCCCGTCGGCCAGAGCGGCGCCGGCGGCTCTCGGACAAGTCCAGCCTGCACGAGGCCGACCTGGACACGCTGGACGGCGCCGCCGACGGCGAGCGGCCCGAGGACCCCAAGCTGAAGGTGAGCAGCTGAGCGCGGCCGACCGCGGCCGAGGCGGGGGCATGGAGGGCGGATGGGGGGGGGGGGAGGGGGGCACGGGCGGGGGCGCACACGCGACGCGAGCGGTCGCTGGAATAATGCTAGGAATAATGCCTAAGTAATCAGGCGCGCGAGTAGGCTACAAGACAGCGAACGGGAGGACGGAGGTGTCATTGGCTGTAGCGATCGGGAGGCTTGTCTAGGAATAATGTTTACGCAATGATGTGCAAGTAGGGGGCAACACCGTGGAGAGGGTATGCTGTGATATCACTGCTGCAATGGTTGCAACATTAATGCTAGGGCTAATGCCCACGAGCAGGCGACAATACGGTGGCATGTACGAGGTCTAGTCACACTCGCTCGGACCTGGCTCCAGACGCCGGGCGGGACCGTCGACATGAGTCGCGGACGGGCTCGTCTAATGGAGCCATCGTGGCCGGGGTCGGGCTGCATGCCGGGATCAGCACCACCGGACACGACCCGCTCCATTGGGCGATCCTCGGATAGCCGTGGCTGGGTTGCGCTCCGGCTCCGGAGTCGGTCGGTCCGGCCCGCAAACAGAGCCGGGTGTTGCGTCGTGATAGGGCGGTCCGCTCCCGGCACAACGTCCTGTCCGGCACCAGACGGGCCGCGTGGAGCGGTGCGCGCGCGACGGGAGAGCGTTGGTCTTGTGTCCTGACATTTGTGCCTTGTCGGGCGCCGGCGGCGGCCGGTTGCCCCCCCCCCCCCCCGCCGCCTCTTCGTGTTCCGTGCCGCGGTGTCCTCATCCGCGTGTGATCGGCCGCCGCCCGGGCGCCCGGCCCACGTGCCGCGCCGCTCACGCCGCGGCGCCGCCCCCGGCTCACGTGTCGCCCCGCGCCCCGCCGCAGCGCGAGGAGGCCGAGCTGAACAAGATCGCCAGCGGCATCGGCAAGGTGTTCCTGGAGCAGGTGCGCGAGCGCGAGAAGCTGCGCCAGTGGAAGATGGCCAACGTCGACCCGCGCAACGCCTCGCGCGCGCCCAACGCCGACCACGAGCTGCCCTACAGAATGCGATACGAGTCTCCCATCTACGCCTGTGAGTGGTCCGGCGGCGGCGGCGGCCGTGGCGCGTCGCGGGGGTTACGCCTCGAGGTGGACGTCAGTACCTCGCGGCTTGATTGAGTCGGGCGTGCGGTGCCTCAGCTGACTGAGTGTCGTGCAGGAGCCGTTGTATCGAAGGTAAAAAATGCGACGCAGTGAGATCGAAATTCGTGTCTAGTCTGATCTTGGACTATGAAGGAGGCATTATGCCAGAGCATTGTGGCGATTGCGGCGCGCACTCAACCGCCGAATGTCCCGCGCACGCCGTATTCCTGAGTATTCTGGTCTTCGTAGATCGCTGTCATTTATCCCACCATTCAACATTAATCACACCAATGATCATCGCTGTTGGCGTGCCCTAAATCTTAAATCATCATCAACACTGGTTTAAGACAGCCGGCGGCGCGTTTGACGCTGTCGTCACATCCCATCCTGTGTGCGGCGCCGACGCGTTCCTGTCGCCCGATCCTGTGCGCCCCGCCGCTGCAGCCGGCCGTCCTCCTGGCGGCAGGTCACCGGCAGCTGTGGCTGGTGCGGCGGCCGGGCCGGCGGCGCGGCCTCGCCCTGGTGCCCGTCACGCACTTCTGGCACCGGCCCTGTCCCGTCCCGCTCCTGCAACTGCCGCCGTCACCCCGCTCACCAGGTCCGTCCGTCCTCTTCCTTTGACCCGGCCTGGCGGGCAGACCGCTGTCCCCTCTCCTCCCCTGACCCGGCCCGGCGGGCAGACCGCTGTCCCGTCTCCCCTGACCCGGCCCGGCGGGCAGACCGCTGTCCCGTCACCTCCCCTGACCCGGCCTGGCGGGCACACCGCTGTCCCGTCTCCTCCTCTGACCCGGCCTGGCGGGCACACCGCTGTCCCGTCTCCTCCTCTGACCCGGCCGGTAAGCAGACCGCTGTCCCGTCTCCTGCTCTGACCCGGCCGGTAAGCACACCGCTGTCCCGTCTCCTCCTCTGACCCGGCCGGTAGGCAGACCGCTGTCCCGTCTCCTCCGCTGACCCGGCCTGGCGGGCAGACCGCTGTCCCGTCTCCTCCTCTGACCCGATCGGTGGGCACACCGCTGCCCCGTCTCCTCTGGCCCGGCCCGGCGGGGAGACCGCTGCCCGGTCTCCTGCTCTGACGGCACTCGTCACGCGCGCTGTCGTCAGCCGGAGGCCCTGCCAGCGGACCCTCGCCACTTACGGCGCTGCGCCCGGCGTCCTCTGTCGGGCCAGACCGGCTCCTCTGGCGGGCTTTGACGTGCCTCTCCTGGCTGGCTGTCATGTGCCGTCGCTCTCTGCGGCGTCACTCTCTCCGTCTACCATGTGACGACCCTGGAAGCATGTCTTAGACGTGTCAGCACTGCGGGCTTGCACAAATGTCAGAACGCTCCTCTTAACCCGGACGGCGCGGATTCGAGACGGCCGCCTGCCGCTCGGTTGTGTCTCTCGCTATGCAGTCGATGTTTACCGTAGGTCCTCTGGACCACTCAATGGCTGTCAGTCGGAAGTGCGGCTGGTGACCGGGCGGCCGTCCGCCGGCAGCGCCGTCCCGGGACGCCGACCACGTGCGGCCCTGGGAGCTGGAGGAGGAGTTCGAGCGCGGCGGCACGTACCGCTCCTCGCTGCCCGGCCGCGCCTACGGTGCCGTGCCGAACTACCGCAGTGAGTGGCGCCGCGGGGCGTGTGGCCCCGGCGCCCTTCTGACGGGCTGGGGCGGCGGCTAGTCGTGGGTCGAGGCGCTGCGGCCGGTGCAGCCGTGTGCTGGGGTTCAGGCGGGGTCAGGTGCTGTCTGAACGGATGCAGGGTGCTGGTCCTGATGCGTGGAGGAGCTTATCGGTCGGTGTGTTGGATGCCCTATTCAACAAAAGGTGCTGCGTGATGACTGCTAGGATAGACGGTAAGCAGTCCGTTTGCCCGCGAATAACAGTGACCAGGTCTCCCCCGGCGGCTTCATCCATGACCTATCACTCGTACGCTGGTCTGTCACCTGTGGACGGGTGTTTGCCTCGTTGTGCCTGACTGGGACCGGCTGGCCGGCCGGCCGTGCGGCCCGTGCGTGCTCGGTTGCGGCGTGTCCGGCTCCCTCAGCCGTCGTCTGGCGCGGCGCCCTCGTGGACGGCGCCGACCAGAGACTGGGGCCGGCCCGGAGCGGCCGGCGCTCCAGCCCCGGTCCCTCAGGCCTGGACTGAGGCTGCACTGGCACGGCTCGGACGCGGCGGTGACGCTCAAGATGTCACGGCTTGTGCGCGCGTGGCGGCGGCGGCGCATGCCCCCCTGCCTTTGGACCGTGGTTTAGGTAGCGAGTAGCCTGCCTGTCCCCGTTGTTTGGCGCCATGCTGTGTGCACGTCGTTAAGCGGAGTTGTGGGCTGAAATGTTGCTGTCGTGTAGTTTGAATTTTCGACTCAGGCGTACATGACTTTTTGTATGACTGCATACGACGCTGCATCTGTTCCGAAGCATACTTTTGACCTATGCTTGACCCCGTACAAGTGCGATACGGTTTGATGGCGAATGCGTTGGTCGTTTAGTTTGGGTTTTTCGCTCAGACGTACATGACACTTCGTACGACTGCAAACGGCGCTGCATCTCTTCCGAAGCATACTTTTGACCTATGCCTGACCCCGTACAAGTGCGCTACGGTTTGATGACGAATGCGTCAGTGTGATCTGTCCCTTCTTTGACACTGTCTAGGCCATCCTGCGCGTGCGTTTTATCCTCCAGCAGGGGAGGCGCCTGAAGCACCCCGTACCGCCCCAGCTTGACATTAACCGCGTCTGTAGCGCCCTCCCGTCGTGCTTGTTTGTCGCTGCGAGAGGCATGCGCTGTCCCGGTCGGCACGCCGCCTGTCCCGCGCCGGCCGCCGCCGCCCGCTCTGAGCGCGCCGCCACCGCCGTTCCAGTCGTGCGCTCGTCCATGTCGGCGCCGCGACCCGGTTACGGCATGAAGGCCAGCACGCTGCCCTGCGCCGGCGCCCGGCCGGCCACCAGCGGCGGCTACTACGTGAGTATGACGCGCGCCGCCCGGCTCCGGCAGTCGCTGGCTCGCTGCAGACGACGCCGCGGCCCGGGCACGGGCTCCAGACGCGCTCGCACACGTTCCTCGGCCGGCCCGGCGGCTACGGGCCCGGCATCGTGAGTGACTGGGAGGAGGGCCGGCCGCCAGGCTGCGGAGGAGGCCCTCCCGCGGAGAGGGGAGGCCGCCCCGTCGGCGGGAGGGGCTGGTGCCGCCGCGGGGCTGTGACCCAGCGGCGGACGAGGTCGCATGCGGCACGGCTGTGTGTGACGGCTGAGAGCAGGCTCTGCGGGGGGGGGGGGGGGGGGCACTAGCGGAGGTGGCTGGGTGATGTGTGCTCGGTTGGTAGCTGCATGCGGCACGTCTAGTGTGTGTGCCCCTCCGCTCCTGAGCCGTCCCTGCTCGCCTGATGGGAGTGGTCCGTGTGGGACGACCACGCCTCTTACGCTCGCAGATGGTGTGGGGCGGGTGGGCCTTGCCGCATTATTGGAGTCGCACGTGGGAGTTAAGTGTGTATGCTTTCCCGGGAGCGGTCTGTGTGAAACCTCGAAGGGTGCAAACCACGAATTCCAAGCAACGCCATCATGTACACGCGTGGAACAGTCTAGCCCCTTCTATATGTGAGTGGATAGCCCACAGAGGTCCCCAGACCATTCTCCGCCACCGCGCACCAAGCGCCAGCTCGGCCCGGCACGTGTGCGTGCGTGCGTGCGTGCGTGCGCGTGTGTGTTGTGACTGAGCGCGGCGGTCTCGTCGGCGTCCGTGTGTCGCGCGCCGGTGACAGATGTGCCGCGCACCTGTCGCCGGCGGCCGGCCGGACCGCCGGCGCGGCCTGACCGCTCGGCCGGCGCCAGACGCAGCCGCGCCGTCCCCGCGCGCCGCTGGCCGGAGGCAGTGGTGGGCCGGAGCGGTGGGCCGGAGCGGTGGACCGCCCGCTGGCGCCCGGGCCGGGACCACAGCGCCGTCCGACAGTTGCGGCACTGCAGGTCACGCGTGGCATCAGGCACCACCCTGTAGCGGCTCGTGAGATTTCTGGATAGGACAGGATTCGTGACACGTCTTGAGCTGAAGATTCAGTGTGGGTCGGTGTGGCGAAGACCGCCTGGCTTTGTTCTGCGCGGATGCGGTGGCCGTTGTGTCGTTTTGTGTCGAGTGCATGCGCGTGCACTTGTGCATGAGTAATGTGCTTATTGTAAGGGGCAGCGTCATCCTTCCGCCCTTACATGTTCCCTGCCTGCTGGCTGGTCATGGTCACGGACATGTCACGTGTCCGTGTCGGCGCCCCTGTTCTGGAGAGCGTCACACTAACGTGATGCCGTTCTACGCAGGGCGATTACTACGGAGGCCTGGGTGAGAAGACTCACAGCACCGAGTTCAGCAGCGCCAGATCAGATAGTGAGTGTATGCGCTCAGCGTCAAGTGAAGATGACGTGTAGGTCGGCGTAAATGGCCCGGTAACTTATCATTTGTAAATTTGTTTTCGTTCTGCATGTTACGCCGTCGCCATCCATGGCTTTTCCGCGAGCGTGTTGCGCGGTCCGCCGAACAAACAATGAACTCTGCTGTTATCTCCCCTTTCTTCCCTAGTTATTCCCTCCGTGCCCGCTCTTGTTCCTGTCTTCTTTCCTTTCGCAGATGTGCAACAATGCTACTTGACGTCTCCCCTTTCTGCACATCACGTGCCCCCCCCCCCCCCCCCCCCCCTGATCCCTGGACCCGCTCTAACCCCGCTCTAACCCCGCTCTGGCCTCGTTCTGACCCCGCTGGCTTCGCTCTGACCCCGCTCTGATCCCGCTCTGGCTCCGGCCCCGCTCTGGCCCCACACTGACCCCACTCTGACCCCGCGCTGGCCTCGCTCTGGCCCCGCTCTGGCCCCACTCTGACACCACACTGAACACACTCTGGCCCCACTCTGACCCCGCTCTGACCCCGCTCTGGCCCCACTCTGACCCCGCGCTGGCCTCGCTCTGACCCCGCTCTGACCCCACTCTGGCCCCACTCTGGCCTCACTCTGACCCCGCGCTGGCCTCGCTCTGACCCGCCGCCGTGCCGCCAGTCTCGATCGGCTCTCTGACGGAGGCCGACCGCAACGCGCTGAACCAGGCGGAGTCCGTGTCGGTGCACACGCCGCGCTCGGGCTACCACCGCTACCCGTACCAGTTCGCCGGCGGCCCGCCCATGCGGCGCTCGCTGCCCAACGTCTCGCAGACGGGGCCGCCGCTGGAGCCGGCCAAGGTGTACCCGGTGCACCTGCTCTTCACCACCAACTACCGGCTGCCGGCCGACGTCGACCGCGCCAACCTGGAGGTGCGGCGCGCGGAGGAGGCGGTCCCGAGGGTCGGCGGCGGGAGAGGGGAGGGATCGGGTGGTGCGGCGCTGGGCAGGGCTGAGGTTGGTTCTGGGATCAGGCTGGGCCTGCCAGCCGACTGGGGAGGAACGGATCGGGCCTGGCCGAGCGTGCAGGAGTTGATGTGAGCTGACTGAGTCTGACCTGGGTTGACCTGACGACAGCGGCTTAAATTGAGCTCATGTGGTTCGTGCTGAGTTTAACCAGGCTTAAAAGATGTCGCCACGTGCGTCTTGTTTACTTGGGGGAAGGGCAGTTATTTTGTGGCGAGCACAGGCGGGTGGATTTGGGCTGTTCTTACACAGCTCACCCAAGCGTGTGGTAGCCCTTTCTTTCTAGGGAATACAATGCGCCTGCTAGTTGTCCTCACAGTGGTTGCGTTCATTAGAATTGACCTCAGTCGTAGTGATAACATCTCAATTGGCGCCGTACCCCATTTCCCGACCTTTACCAGTGTCTGTGCTGACATGGTCCCAGTCGTGCTGATAGGAGGATGCCAACGAGCCTCGCCCCGACGATTTCGGTGCTGATGTCCGCGTGTCTTCCGCTGCAGCGCCACCTGTCCGACGCCGAGTTCGAGATGTTTTTCCACATGCCACGCGCCGACTTCTACCGTCTCCCGCTCTGGCGGCGCAACGACCTCAAGAAGCGAGGCCGTCTCTTCTAGAGCCCATGGCGGCGACGAATGGCGAGCCGGCGCCGGGCGCGAGGGGGCGCGCCGCGCGGCGACGAACGAATCCACGGATGCACGCTTCGCGAGCGCTCGAGCTTCCAGGCGCGGGCCGCTGCGCCGGCGGCGGCGCGCGGCGGAGCGCCTTGTGTTGCCTGTCCCCGGCTTGCGTGGCGTTCTCCCGCTGCTAGTGAGAGTGTGCCGATCCCCGCCGGCTGCGGCGGTGGGACGCGGATCGGCGGCGGCAGCCGCGGCGGCGGCGGAGCCGGCCGGCGAGCGGCCGCGTCCGGTGAGAGTGCAGCGCGCGAGGGCAGCCGAGGCGACGCGGCAGCTGTGGCGGGCTGGAGCGGCCGGCCGGGCCCCGCGCGCCGGCCGGCCGCCGGCGGCAGCTGTGGTGCGCCGCTGCGGCCGGCGCGAGACGCGGCCTGGGCCGGCGGCCTCGCGGCGCGGCCGGCGGCCACCGGCGAGTGGACGGCTTGGGTTCGAGCGCGGGCCGCCGCTGCGCCCTGGGCATTCTAATGTGGATACGTATATACAGGCCCGCTTGTTGCAATAGCATGCCTTGTTTTTGTGACTTCTGTGGCGTTGTTTGGTTCGGACCGGGTGCCGTATTTCGCACGTAGCTAAGCTGTCGGTCTAGTCACGGTCTGCCGTAGTCGGCCCTTTATTTTAGATGTGGCGTGTACTCTGCTTTAGGTGCTGACTAACTGAGCGTGCTCTCGGAGAGCTTCTCGTCTAGACGGCGGGCTTGAGTACCCATGTTCCGTCGCTGGGGACGTTTTTACGCATGGTAGCTTCCAGCAGCTGGGACGGTCGGCACCGGCCGCCGCCTCCGTCCGGATTGGTGCTCGCGCCTCCGGTCCTGTCTATTTTTCCAGCCCCGGCCAGGGCCGTTGTCGCGGCAGTGTCCGCGTCGTCCTGCGCCGCCCACGCCTGTTGCTGTGTTCGGCCGGCTGCTAACGATGGCTGCGTCCAAGGACGTCTTAGAAAACTGTGCTCTGGAAAAAAATAAACGCTTCAGGCCGTTTCGCTTGCGCGTTTTGAGTTGAGTTCCTCAAACAGTCGTGTCACAATGATTTGATGGTGCTATGTCTTTATAGTAGCGATGGGGATTAACATGTGCCCAATTGGCATGTCAGCAATGGGCAACTAGAAGTGTGGCGTTTGACATTTAGGTTCACGGCTACCGTCTTGTTCATTTATGCTCCGATTAACGACTGATGAGGTACTCATGGCCAATGGGATGGTCAAGGCGCATTTCTACTCATGGGGGGAGGGTGAGGCCTTCAGTCCCTCTCCCAATCCTCTGTATATCCTCGAACTGTTAGCCAGAAGTATGCCCATCACCCATAGAGGGTACATCTGGTGCCAACACTATGTGCCGTTCAGCGTGCGCGGTCTGTCAAGGGACCGTGGTCCACGAACTAAATGGCAGCACCATCTGTGCGTGCTAGATTGCACAGCCGTCTGTGCCAGCTAGATGGCAGCACCGTCTATGCGCTATATGATTTGGGAGTTAATGGGACGGCCAGGGCGGGCTATGAACCGGCTGCCCCAGCAGACCGCGGCAGGAACCGGCCCCAGGCGGTTCCTGCCACCTGGCGACCCGCAGCTTGTTTTGATCCAGCGTCATGCATGCGGCTCCTAATTGCACGCGAGCTCTAATCAAAGTCGGCGGATCGGCCCCAGCGGGGATCGCAGCGTTTCACGTGGCGTTCAGCGCGGCTGCTTCACTAGGCATGCACCGTAGAGTATCAAGGTGAAAGCCATTCTCGCTGATGCGTGCTTGTAACTTAGGGACGCTGAGCTCCTTTTCGTGTTTTGTCGCTTTCTAAAAAACTGCAACCATGGATTGGTGTTAGTTTTGACGATAGACATTCCTACGGTCAACATTGGTCTATGCTAGGTATCAACATTGGGAGAATGAGACAAACGGTAGCTAATTTCTTGTACTGCGAGCCTAATAAGTTTACAAGTGTGAATGAAGCATACACATTTAGCAACCGACATTAGCCAAGGGAGTTGACCCGAAATTAGCAACCGTATGCATACCGCTGGATCAGAACAAGCTAGGGACCAAGCTTTCCAGCCGTGGACGCATGGCCTTCGGTGTTCCAGTCTGGGGACGTTCGGTCCGAAGAATCCAGCAGCATAATCTGCTCAGGGGCCTCCCTCGCGCCCGGCTACCACCAGGTGCCGGCCCGCGGGCCGGCCTGCGATGCGGCGGCAAGATGCACCCGAGCAGGCGCGGAATGTCAAAGAAGCGCTGCGTACAACAATGGTATGCCACCAATGTCAAAGCTGAATGGGGGCCAAAATGGAGTAAGCCCTCACACGACAGCAACTGCGGCCGTCTTATTATCGTCTCCCAGTCCAATATTTCATTTATAAATGCGGTGAGAACAGCAGCCACTGAGCCCATATACAGGCGGTCGGGGGGGGGGGGGGGGGGGCAGCCAGCCGGTCGATATTGACAAGTCCATCAACGGACCTTATGACAAGTTGGGTCAACACCGCCAGAACTGGTACCAATGTAGCATGTGCGCATGCATGCCTGAATGCCGAAGCTGCACCGACCAGCTCATCGTCGTTGTGTCCCAACTCACGTATAATGAGGCGCAGCTTCCGCTAGGCTGCTCCAAGTCCAGTGAGGAGCCTCCCTGCAGGCTGGATGAAACACCGGCCACAACAGCACAAACGTGGCACGTGTGCACGACTGTGACACATGGATACGTGTATCGACAGCTCTATCACTTTGGAGATTGAATAAGCCATTTACAAGTGGTTGTGGCGGCCGGCGGCCGCCCGGGCGATAATTGTCCCAAGTCCAACAACGGACCTCCCGGCATGTTGGGGTAAAACCCACCAAACTGGCACAAACGTAACACATGTGCACACATGCGAAAAATGCTAAAGCTGTACCGACCGTCTCATTGCTTTCGGGTCCAATCTCACTCGTTATGAGGTATAACTTCGGCTGATTTGCGAAGTCCAATAAGGGCCAAAACGGCACAAACATGTGCTAAACGTGTGCAAGCATGTGAACTGGGGAGACATGCGTCGCCCATTTTGTCGCTTTCTTGACTGGAATTGTCAAGCTTCTATTTCAAAACCTCTCTGGGTGTTAGGCGGCCGCCCGGTCGACAGTTGCCCCCGGTCCAACAACGGACCTTCCACAACTTAGATGCAAGACCGTTCAAACCGGTGCAAACGTAGCACGTGTGCATGTATGTCCAAATACCAGACCTGTGTCGACTGTCTCGTCGCTTTCGGGTACCAACTCATGCATCACGAGGCGCAGCTTCGGCTGGATTGTTCCAAGTCCAGTAAGGTACCTCCCTGCAGGCCAGACTCAAGACCGGCCAAAACAGCACAAACGTGGCATGTGTGCACGACTGTGACATATAGAGACATGTGTCGACCATTTCATCGCATTCTGGAGTGTAATTTTCCAGCTTTCATTGTAAGTGTTCTGGCTGACAGGCGGCCGTCAGGTCGACTATCGCCACATGCCCAGTAAGGCACCCCCTTGCAGGTTAGGTGAGACCGTTCAAACTCATGTCAGGAGGGCTTCAGCTCTCTCCTCTTTGAGATAGAAATTGACGAAATCCGGGGTTAAACACGTTGGTGATCTTTTGAGGGGCGGTTCAGAGTTTTTCACGGCTCAGCCTCTAAACTCTCTTTGCAAAATCACGCCCCTGAGGATCGTTTGAGAAACCTGTCTTCCTTTCACGACATACTGAAATTTCATCACCGTCTGTATCTCTAGCTGAGTTGGATGGAGTCAGTCCCTTTTTTGCCATCCCCGGCATTCTCAGCAGAGTGTGGGATAGGCTTTACGGTCGCCGACACACCGCCGCCGGCGCACCACTCACCCGGGCGGCACGTTAGGTCAAGGTCACCGCCAGCTGACACTCGGGCTCGGCGGCCAGTCGCAAGATTGACACAAATTGTCAAAATGGTCAAGATTGTCAAAATCAATAGGCTTAACACTTAAATATACTTAAAAATAGGCAGAACACTTACAATATAATAGGGAGAAGGGCTCATCCTATCAGCCTAACCTGCCCCAACACCCGATTTCTTCCGTATGGCAGTCATTTAACTTGGCTTCCCCGGCGTCGGGGATCGGTGGTTGCATTGCCCGATATGACTTTTTTGTACTTTTTTACACTGTTTTGACCCGTATTGCGTCTGGTTTGCAAGGAGGTCCATTACTGGACATGGGTGACCCGGGCCGCGTGGTCGCCTGTCACTAAGCCCACTTTGACAACAAGAGCTCCACAATTTCAGTCCCGAAGGCCAAAGAATAATGAGCACATGTCTCTCATTTTCACATGTATGCACATGTGCTACGTTTGTGCCAGTTTGGTGGGTTTTACCCCAACATGCCGGGAGGTCCGTTGTTGGACTTGGACAATTATCGACCGGGCGGCCGCCGGCTGCCAAATCTCTTGTAAATGGCTTATTCAATCTCAAATGTGATAGAATGGTTGATATATGTCTCCATATGTTACAAACGTGCACACGTGCCACGTTTGTGCTGTTGTGGCCGGTCTTGCATCTAGCCTGCAGGGAGGTCCCTTACTAGACGTAGCAAACCAGCCAAAGTTGCGCCTCGCGATGCGTGGGTTGGGACACGAAAACAATGAAACGGTCGGTACAGGTCTGACATTTGGGCATGCACGAACACATGCTACATTTGTACCAGTTCTGGTGGCGTTGACCCAACTTGTCATAAGGTCCGTTGATGGACTTGTCAATGTCAACCGGCCGGCCGGCAGCCGCCCGGACCGCCTGTACATGGGCTCAGTGGGACCACTTCTTCACCGGTTCTCACCGTGTTTATAAGTGAAAGTTTGGCCTGGGAGGCGATAATAAGACGGTCGCAGTTGCTGTTGTGTGATGGCTTATTCCATTCTGAGCCCTATTCAATTTCGACATTGGTGGCATACCATTGCTGCACGCAGCGTTTCTTCGACATTCAGCGCCTGCTCGGGTGCATCTTGCCGCCGATCACCGGTAAGGCCGGCCGGCGGCAGCCCGCCACCTGGTGGCAGCCAGATGCGGAGGAGATCCCTTACTATATCTATGCTGAGTTCAGCCTCCTGCGAAGAACAGCAATTCCCTTTCATATTGAAATTGATCACAAAATGACACTATACGTGCACGCATTGTTCTTAAAATATAAAGCAACAGCTTAAAAGCTGCCTCCAAACTAAAA